ACTAAATCAGAAGTGGGAAACCTATGGCCCACAGGCCACATCCAGCCCGCGGGACTGTCCCGCCCGGCCCTTGAGCTCCCACCCGAGGAGGCTAGCCCACAGCCCTCCCCCCGCTGTCCTCCCTCCCCCGCAGCCTCACCTCGCAGCGCTGCCAGCGCTCTGGGCGGCGTGGCTGGCTCCGGCCAGGCCATGCAGCTGTGAGCTCCTGCCGCTCTGAGCAGCATGGTAAGGGGGTGGAGCGGAGGGGGTGGATAAGAGGCAGGGGATCCCAGGGGGCAGTCAGGGGACAGGGGGCAGTCGGATGGGGCAGAGCTTCTGGGGGGGAGGTGTTGGATAGGCGTGGGAGTCCCAAGGGGGTGGTTAGGGGAGTGGGTCCCGGGAGGGGTGCTCAGGGGACAAGGAGCAGGGGGCATTAGATAGGTCAGGGCTTCTGAGAGGGACAGTCGGGGGCGGGAAGTGGGAGGGGGAAGATAGGGGGCGGGGGCCAGGCTGTTTGGGGAGGCACAGCCTTCCCTACCTGGCCCTCCATGCAGTTTCGCACCCCAATGTGGCCCTCGGGCCAAAAAGTTTGCCCACGCCTGCACTAAATCATCCCAGCCAGGGCTTTGTCGAGCTGGGCCTTAAAAACCTCTAAGGATGGAGATTCCACCACTCCCTAGGTAACCCATTCCCGTGCTTCATCACCCTCCTCGTGAAATTGTGTTTCCTAATATCCAACCTAGACCTCCCCACTGCAACTTGAGACCATTGCTCCTTGTTCTGTCATCTGCCACCGCTGAGAACAGCCGAGCTCCATCCCCTTTGGAACCTCAGGTACTTGAAGGCTGCTATCAAATCCCCCCACACTCTTCTCTTCTGTAGACTAAATAACCCCAGTTCCCTCAGCCTCTCCTCGTAAGTCCTGTGCCCCAGCCCCCTGATCATTTTCATTGGCCTCCGCTGAACTCTCTCCAATTTGTCCACATCCCTTCTGTAGTGGGGGGGGGGACCAAAACTGGACGCAATACTCCAGGCGTGTAAAAGCTTGGCAGAGTGAACGGAGATTCCCAACTAGAAGAGAGGCCTTGGTAGAATTCTAAAACTCAGCCGCAAAATGCTAGTTAACATAAGGGGACTGTTGCCCCCTTACTAACATTCAGTGGGGGTGTTTTAGTTGCCAGGTCCCACTACTAAAAGGGGGAAGGGTCAATGGGGAATCAGGACCCTGAGACTGACAGCCCCCAGGAACAATGGGGAGAGGCCAATGCTGCAGGTCAGCCTGAATGACAGGGCGGGCAGGCTAATCAGGGAGTCAGGAGACCCCGTCCTCTGTGTGAGCTGGATTTGCCTGGGTCAGACAGAGTGGGGCCGAGCTAAGGAGGAAGCAGGGGCCCGACCTGAGCTGGGGAAGCAGAGCTGTGCCAGATCCAGAGGGACCAGAAAAGCAGCCCAGAGAGAGCAGACCATGTCCTGGGAGCAGAGCTGCAGCCCCAAAGTCAGAGGGTCCAGAAAAGCAGCCCACGAAGCAGGACAGTGCTGGGAGCAGAGTCACAGAAGCAGCCTCAGAGCAGACTTGCCCTGGGAGCAGGGCTGCAACAACCAGAGCCAGAGGGGCCAGAGAAGCAGCCGAGCTGAGGCAGAGTGGAGCTGGAACTGTGGCTGGAGCAGTCCAGAGCCGGGTGTCATGAGCAGCTGGGGAGAGCGAGGGGGGACCCTGGGCAGTGGGCCTCAGCCAGGAGGCTCTGCAGGCCAGACTCGGAGGGGGATTGGTAACCCCAACAGGGCGGGGGCGACGCTGGGAAGAAGGGCCCTGCCACCTAGAGCCTGAGAGCATGTGGCCACCACCAGAGTGAGTGTCCAACCCGCAGCATCCCTGCAGCACAGCCAGGGCCGGAGCAGGAGGTCTGGGACTTACAAGGGACAGACTGTGAACTGCCCGGACATTCCAGAGACGCTGTTGGTGATGTTCCCTGCCACAGAGCGGGGTGATGTTTCCTTTCACCTTTCCCATTTTCCCTTATTCTTTTTAAAATTAATTGTTGATTAAATAACTTGCATTTGCTTTAAACTGTATGTAACGATCAGTGGGTCAGGGAAGTATCCAGTGCAGAGAGAGCACCCCAGAGTGGGGACACCCTAGCCCCTGTCCTAGGTGACCACAGCAGGGTTGGGGGTCGAGCCCCACAGGAATCCTGGGCGCAGCCTTGTTGGAGTTATGAGGACTCTGCCAGACAGGGGAGCAGAAGGGGAGTCCTCAAGGGCAGGGAGGCCACTGGGTAAAGGAAGTGGGAGCGAGGACTCAGATCCTTTCGCTAGCCTACTTCACCGGGGTACTGCAGAAGCCAGGAAAGTTCCCCGCAATAGCAGGACTATTCCCCCGCTTACAGAATGATCCACCAGGCAGCAAAATACGAACAAGAGAAGGGTATTGCCTGTGATCCTACAGAGCAGAGTTCAGTCAGTAAAGACTTCTGTTTTTCTCCAAGTAGGGAGCACAGAGCTCTATTAAACGCTATTGCTTACCATTCTATTTGAATTACCTGCCCATTTCCATTACCCTCTAGAGCAGATCTATCGAGGCACTCTGTCTGCACACATGCAGTGCGGGCTCACAGAACAGGGAAAATAAAGGCAAATTTTAAACACACATGTTGCACTAGTATCACCACCTATTAGGCACGGCTGCTGAAAGTTAAAATGCATCTATGCTTTGGGCTCAGGGCCATGAGGAATATCCCAACAGTGCAGATGTCCTCTCCTGAACACGGCTCAAAGGACAAGGATGCAAAGCTCCCGTTCAGCAAAGGACTTAAGCCTGTGTTTTCAGCTGCATTAGCAGATACACAGTTACTCCAGAAATAAAAAGTTACTTTAGACGAGGGGTCTCAAACTCAAATGACCACGAGGGCCACATGAGGACGAGTGCATTGGCCCGAGGGCCGCATCACTGACACAACCCCCCACGCTGCGCCCAGCCCCACCCCCACTCCAGCCCTTCCATGAGGCCCTGCCCCTGTCATGCCTCTTCTCTGCCTCCTCCCCTGAGCACACAGCTCCCCGCTCCTCCCCCTCCCTTCTGGAAAGCTCTAAGCCCTGCCAACAGCTGTTTGGCAGCGGGAAGCGCCTGGAGTTAGGCAGGGGCGGGGGCATGCGGACCTTGGCGGGCCGCAGAAAATAACCCCGCGGGCCACATGTTTGAGACCCCTGCTTTAGACAATGTACAGTGTAAAGTTTTCCCTTGGCTTGAATAACAATACCTCTCATACAGCTTTTTTCATCCATAGATCTCGAAGCACTTTTCAAGGGAATTAAGCATTATTATTCCCATTTTACTGATGGGGAAACGGAGGCACAGGGCAGGGAAGTGATTTGCTGGAGGTCACTGAGCAGGCCAGTGGCAGAGCTGGGAACAGAACCCTTGTCACCCGAGTCCCAGGCCAGGGTTCTAACCACTAGGCCAGGCTGCCTTCCTTTATGGAAAAAAGGGAGCCTGTTTTTACTACTCTGGTGCCTACTGCATGCAAAAGGCAGCTCCTGTTTTTGTGGACCGACACCGGGTGTCCTTGAAAGCTTTGCCCTGCTATGTACTGTAGCTCGTGTGTGCACATGCGGTGACCCTCACCGGCCACTAGCAAACGCTCAAAGCGGCATTGGAAGCTTTAAAAGTGGTGGCTGCAGTGTGGGTGCTGCTGCCGACTTGTTTCCCCTCAGGGGAGAGGTCCCCACAGTTGTTCTGGACGTGTTCACCACTGAGTTCCTCGGGGCACCTATTTTTAAGCATTCTGAAACCAAAACCGCTCGGCGAGATAAAAGCCATCCCGTATGGCACTCGGCCCTGGTGAGGGCGTCTTGACCTAGAGGTTAATGCCACCGTTCCCTAACAGGCTCTGCTTTCGGTGCGCAACAGCAGGGAAATCCCCCTCCGGAAGATGAGCCCCCCCACAGTGCACGTAAACCCAACGAGCTCAGTCCGACCTGTGAGAGCGGCTCCACAGAACGCCTTTTCAAAGCGATGGCGCCCATTCATCCTCAGGGTAACTTGCTTCACGGGAACGGTGCTGGGGAGAAGCAGCCCTGTGTGTTTACTGGGAGGCTGGTCTCGAATGTGCTGCACAGTAGGCCCTCCTCCAAGCCAGCGTGAACGCAGCTGCACCAGACGGCTCTATGACTGCAGCCGCTGACCCGTGCGTCAAACACATTTTCTTTGCCTGAGAGTTTACAGTGCTGCAACAGACCACTGTCCAACAGCAGAATTCTCTTCCGTTGATGAGCCACTTTCATAGGGGCACCAATCGACTGCATTATTTTGGCTCTTTTCAAGGCAATATTCCTGTGTGGGAATCAATATGCAGACAACCACTGATGTGTCAAAAGGGCAAGCGTCCTGTTCATATCAATGAGACCTTGCCAAGTTAAAATAAATTACAGGTGGACTTGATCCCGGCTGCCTATAGTTAAGCTTGGAAGGATGAGATTTTTTGTTGGTAACTGTGGGTAAACATGGATTTCCTTGTACACAGGGGCGGTAGCAGGTAAATGCGCCCTTGGGGGAGCCTAGCCACCAGCCCAGCCCCCTCTGCCCCGCTCCTTCTGCTCCCCTACCCTGTCCCCCGCCATGCGCCCCTGGCCTGGCCCCAGCGCTGGGTGGGCAGCGCAGCCGGAGCGCCCCCAACCCGGCCCCAGCATGGTTCCAGTGCTGGGCGGGCGGGCAGGCAGCACTGCAGGAGTGCCTCCAGCCCCAGTGCGATCCCACCGCTGGGAGGATGGATTTTGCGGCGTGTCATGGCCTTGCACACCACGACCTTCAGCCTGCCTGCCCAGTCTCTCGGCCACAGAAGGAAACAGCAGGCAGGAAAGAGCCTGGTGGAGCGTGGGCGGGGCCATGCCAGGCTGTTTGGGGAGGCACAGCCTCCCCCTGCCTACAATACCCGCCGCCCAGGCTTGTACACACACAAAGTGACGAAAAAAATATATCCATTGATGATCATCTAAATGTACAGACAGGCAAGAAAGAAAAACACTGCTGGGAACTTAGAGTTTAATGTAAGGATATTTACTTTGTATATTTTGGCATGTGATGTTGACAATGTGTGCTTTAATGGTTATAAAACTAGCTTTTTGAATCTCAAGATCTACCGATTAAATATTTATTGTCTGGCCCCTCCTATTATCTGGCCTTCCCATAATTTCCCACAACTGAAAACTGAAATAGATAAAAATTGGAAAAATATTCTTAAAAATAAACATTACCACCCGTAAAAATCAAAAATAAAAGTCTAATACTGCCATGCCTACCTATACTTTCCCTTATACGATTGTTTTCAGTTACTTGTAACTTTGTAAGACTAACTGTTTGGTCCGAGACTTTCCATGCTGGGTGTTTCTATTTTGGAAAGTTTCAGCTAAAATGGTTCAGCTGTTTCTGATGACAAGATTAGGAAAAATTTTGTTTTGCCCAAGTTAAAAAAAATTCTTACAGCTGTTAAATTGACACTAGTGCCTCCGTGCTTCGGGGCGGGGACTACAGTTTTACAGCTGGGGATCCGAGGCAAAGAGATTAAGATCATTATCGAGTATCCATTAACTTTGGGTGCCCAGTTTGCGAGGCCCACCATGTGATCTTCCAGAGAACTTAGCATTATACAGCATTGGAGATGTTGAAAGCACAACTCCAACTAATTTCAGCTGCAGATCTGAGTGCTCAGCACTTCTGCAAATCTGGTCCCAGGTATCTCCAACAGGGCACCCAGAAAACAGGAAACACAATTCATGGCCAACTGAGCATTTTGGTGTAAGTGACTCGTCCAGCATCACATAGGAATTCTGTGGCAAAGGAAGGGCTAGAATCCAATTCTCCAGGGCAGCATCCAACTGCCTTCACCAGGAGCCCATTCCTTCTCTCCCTGTAATTCCTGCCTCATCCACTACACACCTTTCAACTGCTACAAGCGAGGCAGGGGCCCGACAGACAACAGCCTCCTTCACTACATAACCATGTTTCTTTCCTAGTGCACAGTCCATCCTGTGCACTGAATGAGGCAGAGTTCTGTGGAAGCAATGGCATGTGATCAAACAGTAACATGGATTGGGAACCCCTGACACAAAATACTCTTTACATATGCCAGAACCATAACTCATTAATTTGCTACGAAAAACCTATCAGTTATTCTGATAAACATTAGCTACACTTGATAAAACGTATTAAGGCTAAAAGATTTAGGAGAAGACTTTCAATGGTGCTTGTGCCCTTTGTTTTCACAAGACATAGCTACAAATAAACAATGTAAAAACACCTGTTATTCATCTGCATTTATTATCTGGGCAATAGCCCTTCTGTGTCCCTCTCCCATAGAGCAAGACATTGTGCTGTGTGGAACCTGCCCGCAGGTGCCTTCAGTAACCTGTAGAGGTTAAAAGAGAGAGAGAGATGCATTAACAGCAGCATGAAGACCTGGCTTGTTCGAACTATGTTCCTTCTGAGTTCTACTCACCCCTCTGCAGACCTTTCACTGCGTTCCAACCCCGCCCTCCCCCCTTCCTGTCCATCCCTAGCCCCCAAATGGAGCTGTAGAGGTGAACCCAAGGGATGACTCTGGCCTGCAGAAGCCCCATGTGGGACGGGGCAGGAGCTGGAAAGAACACCGCTGGATTTTCACAGCCCAGCTTGGGTTGGCAGGACTGGCTCTTAAAAAGTATCTAGTTTTTAATTTTAGACTGAGCAACTCTGGTACAGAGTCACCGGAGGGCAAACCGAGAGATGCCCCTAGGGCCGTTTTTACAGAGTCACTCCTAACCCAGTTGCTGCATGTGGAGTTTAAACCTGACATTGACAGGGCTTAGTTTTCTGCATCCCCTCCTCCCATGCTAACTCACCTTCATGCAATGTCCGTCTCTAGGACATCCTCCTGTTTGGTAGGCAAATCTTTCTCCAATGTTTCCATTTCTTCTTCCTTGCTCCTCCTGCGGCGCTTCCGACAGTGACTTGCAAAGCAAAGTCAGTGATTAACCTAAGCTAACTTGGTTAGTCGCAGAAATTCACTGTCTCTCTCAAATCAGAAATATTTCCCCCCTACCACCACTTTAAAATATTTTAAGACCCATAGAGCGCTTCCCAGCTACAACGCCCTATATAAACCACGATCAATCCTCCCAGCACACCTAGGAGGTCATTAACTAGTTGCCACAATTTACAGATAAACAAACATGAGGTCAACTCTCCTCCAACCCCCATTAAAAATCCTTGTAGACTCCCACTGACTTCAATGCAGGTTGAAAAGGGCCCTGGGGCTCCAGTTCAACAAAGCACTGAAGCCTCAGGCCTTCCCAGAAACGGCTATAATTAAATCAGTACAAAACAGTGCCTAGACCAGCCCTTCCAGAGGTCAAGTGAATTGTCCAAAGCCACAGAGGGAATCCAGGGAAGAGCTCAATTGGAGTTTTAACCCATGTATTCAGACCCACTGTCTCCACCGTTAATTCATCGGTCACTCTTGGGAAGCATCTGTGGGCCCCATTTCTCAGTTGCCACTTGCTTGTATATCAAATCAATGGATAACTTCTGTTCTGTTCAGTGCTTGTTCCAGGTATTAGCAGGACCTGTATACGGGCGACTCCTTTGGCAGCAGGCATTTGCCATCAGTCAGAGGTTCTTGGTGAGTAAGAGGGAGTCCTCCATCCTCAAAACTAAATGTGTAAGATCTTTGGGGCAAGACCGGTCCTATTGTTTACCTGCACAGCGCCCAGAAAAATGAGGCCCTGGACACCACGACGCCTCAAATGGCTCCCCGAAGAAAAATCCAAATGCTGGCAGGAACCCAATTACTATTTTCATCTGTCAGGCTGGGTCCTGCGTCCCTTGAAATCAATGGCAAAGCTCCTAGCAACTGCAGTGCTTCAGGATTGGGTCTTGAAAGGGGACCGAGCCAGTGTCAGCTGGCTTGGGCTTGAAGTGGGGGCGGGGAGCTAAAAAGAACAGCGCAAATGTTCAGGCTTGGGCTGGAGCCCGGACTCTGAGACCTGCCCCGCTCACTGGATTTCAGAGCCCAGGATCTAGCCCAAACACCTGCACTGCTATTTTTAGCCTCACAACCCAAGCCCCAGGAGGCTGGGTCAGCTGGCCCGGGCTCTGCGACTCTGTGTCGCGGGTCTTTTATTGCTGTGTAGACGGACCCTGGGGCTATTAGGAGCAATGAGAAATAACTGTATTGAAAAGCCACGATGAGGACCATCTCGAGCGCGTCCCTTGAAGCATTCCTCAAAAGGCTCCTAGTAATGCCCGAAGTTTCCTTTCCAGGCCAAAACCCCCCCGTTGTAGAAGTGGCAGAGGAGTTGGACAGACCTCACAAGTGTTCATACGCACGAGCACAACAAAGAGATGCAAAACACACAAGCATACTTACTGACTGCACATGCATATGCATATTACCAGGCCGATCAGCGCCACCATGGCGACGATCAAGCAAATCACTACCATCTGGCCTTGATCTCCTCTCAAGTAGAATATGTCCACTCGCTCGCATCTTGCGCCTGTGTAGCCTTTCTCGCAGCTGCAAGAGGGAGGGAAAGCGGGACAATATGAAGACTTGACACTGCAACGAGAACACCCAATGCTCACAGGAACGGGCATCAAAGGCCAGGTCCTTCAAACGCGCACACGGACACAATTGCTGCCCTGTACACGGGGCTGCCCCAGGAACAGAGCACAGCATGAAGTGTGGCTCCCAGACAGTCCCTCCCCTTCGCTCTGGGGCATGACTATGTTACGTCACTTCCTTTCCTACAGCAACCAGGGTTCCACCACCTGGCTCACAGGTGGGGGTATCAAGCGGAGCAGGGGCCACACGCCTGGAGTCACAATCTGAGCAGCGAGCAAGAGAGGGGTCCTGCCTTCTTGAGCAAGGGCTGTGAAATTCCAGCCCTATATGAGCAAGGCTTTGCAGGATCGGGTCCCAAGTTACTATCCATTGTATCAAAACCTGGGTCCCAGAGGAGCCTTTGGGTGAACCCTGCCACCAGGCTGCTGCAGATGTGGTCAGGGATGGGTTAAAGCCAAGCATAACCTTTTTCAGCTTCAACCTTGCTCACATATGCCTGGTGGAGCAGGTACCACCCCCAGTGTTAATACGCCACCCCTGAGCATAGGGTGTCCCTTGGACCCTGGAACTCATCAGAGTGAGGGACACAGGCCAGTGATCAGAGACGGATGGTTTGGTTTTTCCTGAAGGGTCTTGGGCTTTGGCTCTCCAAGGAGTGCCCCACTGAGGACACTTGCTGCTAGCACCACTCAACAGCAGGCAGGCAGAGCGCAAACCCGCCTGGAGACCACTAACGTACCAACACAAATCGATACCGACCAGAGACAACCTCCTATGACAGCAGCAGGGTACCCCGTGTATTCTGGGAAAGAGACCAGTTCATTATCTTGGGCAGATTTCACTGTATTTTCAAATTTGTCAAGGTTAACTGCAGTATTCGCAGGGGTGCTGAGTTACACTCGGCTTGGGACGTGTGGAGTCACTTTCCACCCGTGTGAAACAGCACAGCTGCCAAAAATCACCCTGGGCCTTTACAATCTTTTTGCTGCAGAAACGGAACCTCATTAGCTGACTTGTGACCCAGCCACTACAAGCCAAGTCCCAGTCTCCCTGATGAAGTGCTATCGAAGAGTGGACTGAATTTAAACACCTCCCCGGCTGTCTGGTGAAGCCAATTCCATGCCTTCTGTTCAGAGGGGCAAATGAAATCCAGAGTACGTAAGGTACAGAAGTGAAGAGAGCGCACACAGCACACAAAGGGAGAGGGACTCAGGACAAAAATCTTCATCCTGAATCTCTTTGCTTTCCTCCCTTAGGCATTGCGGGGATCAATCCACTGTAATGTCCCTCCATCAACAGCAGTGCACCCCACACACACCTGCCCTCCCACTCATCTCAGGAAGGCAACTATCAGTGGGAGGTTGTTGTGAAAGGGCCTGTCTACACTGCGGGGATTGCACTAGACTAGCTGCAGCACTGGGTATAAGAAGTGGCCTGCACACAGCAAATCGACAGCCAGGGTTTGAACCAGTGCCACAGCAAAAGGTGTAGCTACATTGGGGCAATACAAAAACCACCGCGGCTTACACTGGGTCTTCTTCCCACCTCTAGCCCACTTTCCTGACTGAAAACGGTCCGGGGGGAAAAAACCCCATGCAGCACAAGCATGCTAGAAATGCTGCACCTTTTGTCCTGGTGCCGGATATTGGCATTTCTGATCAGGAATCACAATACACCACACTAAGTCACCTCTACCTTTCCCAGTGAGCCCCACCTTATCACTGTGTTGGCTAGGTATGTTCAAAGAGGGTTAGATGACCCTAGCAGTATAAACACCTGTGGCCCAGCTACACTTGCTCTTCCACGGTTCGTACTGGTGCGAGTGCTACCATAACAGCGTGAAAAATCAGACACACACCGACTGCAGGCGCTTCTGACTGTATCGTCCCTGGGGCGGGACTAGATTTTTGCACCCTGCACAGGGCAGAGCAAACGGCAAACGCTGAACAAATGCACAGTCACCCAAGCACCGTCAGAGGAGGTTTTACAAAAGGTTAGTGTGGATTATTGTAATTAGTGTTATCTAAAGATCACTATTCCCCCAAACCACAAGCACCGAGGCACCGACATGAAGCTCACAGCCGTCATTCTAATAGCCATTCCAGTACAAAGCCCAGCCACTTAGCCATAACTCCATAGGCGCCAACTCCGTGGGTGCTCCAGGGCTGGAGCACCCACGGGGAAAAATTAGTGAGTGCTCTGCACCCACCGGCAGTCAAGCTCCCCATACCCCCCGCCCCACCAACTCCTTCCCCCCTGAGCATGCTACGTCGCCGCTCCTCCGCCTACCTCCCAGTGCTTCTCAGCCAGCCGCTGCCAAACAGCTGTTTGGCAGCATTAGCATGCTCCGGGAGAGAGGGGGAGGAGTGGGAATGTGGTGCTCTCAGGGGAAGAGGCAGGGGTGGGGCAGGGATTTGGGGAAGGAATTGGAATAGGGGCAGGGAGGGGGCGGAGTTGGGGTAGGGACTTTGGGGAAGGGGTTGAAATGGGGGGGAGCTCATGAAAGGGGTGGAGTGGGGGCAGGGCCGGGAGGCAGAAGGGGGTCGAGCAGCCACAGGAAAGAGGGGAAGTTGGTGCCCGTGCATAGCTCAGCAGGTGAGGGGCTGTGCGAATGTTTCAGAGGCCAAAAGCCGAGGCTCACACACATCTTGGCCCCACATTCACGAACTGGGGGTAAAAGGTTGTTCAAACCTTGCATCCCACCTTTGCCATGTACCTCTGAAGCTGTCTTTTTGGAACACTTGCAGGGGAGGGATTGCAAGGGGGAAGAACCTTACCCCCCAAAGTCTTCATGGGGCAGCCAATGACTTCCTGCCACCAGGTGTGCGAGGCCATGTCTACACTACAAAATTCACTGACGTCAGCATACCACCGCCGCAGTAATTGCATCGCTTTTGCCCCTACACTTTGCTCCTTGTGTTGGCGGTGCGCGTCCTCACCAGAAGCACTTGTCTCGATTGCACTGTCAGCGTGGTATGACTCCTGAATGCCATTAACAGTCGCCAGAAACAGTGCAGTGTCTACACGGACACTGCAGCGACCTAACTACATTGACCTTGACTCCACACCGCTCGTGGAGGTGGAGTTAAGTCAGTGTAGCTGGGCAGTTACATCGGTGGGAGCAAAATTTAAGCACAGACACGTCCATAGTTAGGTCGATGTAAGCTGCCTTGAGTCGACCTAGCTCTGTAGCGTAGACCAGGCCTCAGTGTGCACACGTAAGAGTGAGACAAGCAGGATCTCTAGCCCCCACTTCAGCCAGGTACTTATGCCCTCACTTTAAGCACAAATTACCCTACTAAGTCAGTGGAATTAGTCACATCCTTAAGGCTAACCGTGTGTTATCTTGCTGAGCTGGGGCCTTGGTGAGGAAGTCCTGAATAGGAGCGGCTTGGTTTGGACAGTGGAAAACCTTTCCCCTACTTTCCAAAGTCACCAGGGCAAATGCACAGCGATTAGTTTCCATACACTAGGACTTGGGAGACCTCGGGTTCAGTTCCCTGCTCCACACAGACGCCTGCGGGCCATGAAGATATGTGCACTAAAGATTGTGAAGCGCTCATACTACGGTGATGGGGCCAGATAAGTACCTAAGACATCCATTTTGAAAGCTACTTGTATTTCTGGTTAAGATGAAAGCTTAGATTATACAGTCAGTCACAAGCGTCTCATGGATATCATTATTGCTCCTTTTGGCACTCTCAGTGGAATGGAATTGTACGCTGAAAGACTTTAACAAACAAGGAAGAGTAATCGTGTGCAGGAGACCTAACTAGGAAAACTGGAGCATCATGGGCCATGTAGGAAGTGGCTATAAAATGAGGACACATTCTGAAATATGCAATGCCCAATATTTCCACCTCTCTCCTGTCCAATTCTTAAAATGCAACCAAAAAAAAAAAAACACAACCCACCAACTGTTTTTAAGATATTTTTGTTCATCTTGGAAACTACCTTCACCTTGGACAATTCTCTCCAGGCAATTACAGCAAATGGAGAAATATATTTCACTGTGTGATAACACTGAATGAAGGACAAAACTGTGGTTAGAAAAGCCACACAAGATATCTGTGTTGCATCACGCCCATATTCTTCATAGAAATATTGTTATGATATGAATATGGCATAACTAAGATATGTTTTATGCAAGATGGGTCATGTGAGGTATCACTGGAAAGGTTATGATCTACTGAATGTGTTTATCCAATTTGTATACATGTATCATTTCTGTATCTGAAGTTAGGAATATAGACCATGTAACAATTACAACTGTGTGTGTATTTGGGGGAATGCCCACCAGACAGTCGGCAATCAGCCTGGATGAGCCATTAAGACGAACAATAAGACTTTGAAGATACTAGTCTCCCACCTTCCTGAGATGTTGCTTTGACACTGCAGGGTCATGTGATGTCACCTAGTACGGAGTACCACCTTGGACACTGCTGGTATTTTTCCACTGGAAACAAAGGATTCCCGCTTTATGTAAAGCCTATTTAAGGCTGGGAAGTAAGGCAATCATGGCTCTTCTCTCCATTGCTTCCCAGCCCAAGAAGGAAGACTGCTAAAAACAACTGGAGAAACAAAGGAACTAAGCAGGGGAAAGGCAAGGGCTGAGTCCAGGCTGAGACAGGAGTCTAGCCTATAAAGAGACATAACTGGAACTCTGAGCTGCAAAAACTCTGCAACCTGCCTAAAACAACATTTAGGGTGAGAAATTACTAGTTGTAACCAGTTTCTTTAGTGTATTCAGCTTAGTTTGTGTGTTTTGTTTTATTTGCTCAGTGATCTGCTTTGTTCTGTTTGCTATCCCTTATAATTACTTAAAATTTATTTTTGGTAGATAATAAACTTATTTTTTGTTTATTTCAAAACCCAGTTTGTGCAATTCATATCTTGGGGTGGGGGGGGAAGCTGTGCCTACCTCCCTCCACATTGAGGGAGGGAGCAATTTTTATGAGCTTGCGCTGTGCAGATCTTCTATACAACGCAAGATAATATTTTGGGTTTACACTCCAAAGGAGGTGTGCACGTGATGGCTGGCCATTCCCCTAGCTGAGTCCTCCCACAGAGAGAGCTGATCGCAGACTCTGTGTGATTCTACAGTTGGGTGTCCCTACCTGTGTGTGTGTGCTGAAAAGGGGCTTGACAGCTGGTCACAGCAACACAGAATGAGTGAAGCCCAAGCTGATGGGACAGGAGGGCTTAGTGGGACCCCAGCACATCATGTGGCAACCCTAAAAGCGGGGGGTGAGGGGGGAGAGAGTGGTCCAACCCATCACATCCTGGACACATCTTTGACCAATCCAATTCAGAACAAGCTGATCCAGTGTCCCTTCCTGGCAAAGATCAGAAGGGCAGTTTTACCGGAAAATTGCTTGGAAGCAGGACGCGGACAATATTTTACTGGAATTTAACAGTAGCTTAGCTAGAATTGCAGGGGAACGATCAAACCCTTCGGGCTTCTGCAGCATGCAATTTTAGCCCTTCTCCAAGCTGCTTTAGGAAACTGACCCTGCTGCTGTTGAAGACAGCAAGAGCTTTGCCGTTAACTGCAATATGAGCAAGATCAGGCCCTTTATGAATATTTTTGATCTCTATTTAAAAATTTGTTTATCCCTGACTAACATTCAAAGTACCTAGGAAGACAACTAGTCAAGCTTTCTATTTACATTTTCACTGAAAGGAAAGGTTTCACAAAAGGCTCCTTCCCACTATCATCACCTGTGTGCCTCTGTGTTACTGGAAAACCTAAATACTATTTGACACAGAAGGTTTTGCTTGCGTACTTTCAGCCAGCCTGGGAAAGGTTCCAACCTTGAACCAGATTCAAAACTTTCATGCTCTCACGTTTCAATAGGAGCGTCTGCGTCACCCTTTCAAAAAGCTCCTGACACTTTGGAACAACCCCCAGTGCTGAGAAAGCAAGTGGAGGGTTACGTGGACCAAGTTAGTTAGGAGTCAGTGTGTGGATAGCTAAAATATTTTCACCATATCAAGCCCCGGCTAGTGCAATTTTATGTCCTTCCCCTTGGTTTGGAAGTTTTACTTACACGCAAGCTGGTATCTCTTCCGACATGACATATCGACATCGCCCTTTGACACAGTAATGCTTGTATTCCTCGGGGCACTTAGAAAAGTGCCCTCTCCGCCGCAACTGCGTGATATTATCTACAAAAAACAAGAGTGAGTTTTCAAGAGGACACAAAACCAGGTTTACGCTACGAGCGATCAACTTCACTGCCACGCTCCTCACAAAACATTTCCGTTCTGTATGTCACGTAGGTGGATAAAACGCGGGCCTGAACCCCAAAGGTAAAATTCCAGAGGAGCTATAAGATGTCAGATGAAGGAGTTCATTAAAAATAAGCACACTGTCAACCACCACCACCACCACTCGGATAAGTGGCCGTACCACTGCAAGAAAATTAAAAGCAAAAAATCGGCAAGCTGGAAGACTTGGCAACTGAAGAGGGACTTGATCCAGCAGGCATTATAGGAACACGGTCAGATGGCAAGAGTCAATGGGATACAAAACCTGGCGATGGGACAGATTAGGTTAGAGGTGGGGGAGTGGCACCGTAGCTAAAGGAGTCCATAGAATCTGCAGGGGAAAATTTTGGTTGCACGGGACCATGTAGAAGAACGTGTATGGATGCAAATCCCAAGTTATAGGAATACACGTATTCTGGTAGATCTCCAGATCAGGAAAGACTGTTATAATGGGTGACTTCAACTTCTCATAAAGAAACCGCTCCAATGTCATACCAGGGCAAAGCTTCCTGAAGCTATTTCTCAACACTAGTAACAGCAGCTAGTTCTCGAGCGTGCAAAAGGAGAGGCTATTATCTATGGAGCCCTAAATAACTCAGGACTTGGTTCAATAAGTAAATACAGTTGAGCCGTTAAGCTACAGTGACAGCTACATAACTAAGTTCCAGATCTTTCAGGGGGAAATCCTGCGAACTAAGTACCACAGTGACACTAAATGTTAGAAAATGATTCAAAGAGCTAGTCCGAAAACTCAAAGTCAAAAGGGAAGAAGGAAGTTTAAAAATCTTAGGATAGAGGCTACTTACATGGCCATGCAAGAATCACAGCCCTAAAGAAACACATCCAGCTAAGGCAGAAAAAAAATATAAGCTAAAATTATGATGGCTAAGAGGGAATCTGAAAAGCACTTCTGGGACACAGCTAGGTCTCTGTGTGGCTGAAAACAGTGATGTAATATTTCCGGTTGTAATATTGGGCCAAACAACTGCTGGCCTTTGATGGTCTAGCCCCACGCTACTTACCATCTCATATACTATCAAAATGCCGACTCCCACCCCTGCTCTCCCAAGGATGCCAGGCTCCATCGCCCACTTGTTCAAACAAATCCCTCAGTGCATTCACCCAAGCTGCCCCTTATGCTTGAGAGGTGTTCCTAACAAACATCTGCAGAGCTACCTCATTGTCCTTCCTTCCAATCCCTCCTTCAAACGCTCCTTTGCTGTGATGGCTACAAAAAACTTGGCAATAGCTAGGCAGCTGACGTGTCATTCCCGTTTTCTTGTCATTCCCAGTCCATAACCACCTGTTGTCTCGTCTTATGGTACGCAGTTTAAGGAATGGACCACATTTTTGTTCTGTGTTTGTGCAGCACCTAACAGAGTGGGGCTCCGATCCATAACTAGGGTTCCTAGGCACTCCAGTCATGCAAATAAATACTACTGTGCCAGAGGTAGACCTTGGAAGTGTGAAAACTTCAAAAGGCTAGCACAGTGAGAGGTGCCAGGCTCTACAGGCACAGAGAATGCCCAGAGACTTGCGCAGCGATAAATTTTAGATGTATTTGTGTGAGCGAGGGATTGTGTTCTAGCTCCCTGGGAGAAGGTTACGGTTTCCTCCAGGAACTAAAATCAGCAGGGGGAGAATTACTACAAGGTTTCAGACAGGTAATCGGCTCCACTGAAGTACTGCCCCTAGGCAGAACTGCATATACTGGTTCAGACTGGGTTCAAGAGGCCCAACAGAAAAGAATGGGCCATTGGTATAAAGGAGCAGTGTGAACTGACTCAGGGACCCTCATTTGATCCTCAAAATTCTAACAGAGAGAGCAAAACCCTGTTAGAAGGGTTGGAAGGACTGGAACTTGCCAGTCTCTCCAAGTGGAAGATGGGTGACACCTGGTAAGCTTAGCAGGTGCGTCAACCGTTTACTGTTGTGTGACGTTTTCTCTAGTTGTTTTTGTCCTACGTAAACAGGCTGTGCTCTGTAAAAGCTGGCAGGTTGCTGGTAACACTGTCACACACCTGGGAGAGAGCAGAATTGCATCTGCTGGACTGAGGTCAGACCTGCTAGGGGATAAGCACAGTGAACGGCCGGGAGATGCAACCCTAAAAGCACCATCTGGAGGGAGAGGGATGTGAAACCTGGACATGCTGGTAAAGCAGGTGCCGCCTCTTGCCAAGCCTCTAGGTGTCAGCTGAGCACTGACAAATTTATAGCTGGAAACCAGTCCACCTATATGTTCACATCGTTCAAGGCAGGTGTTAGACTGGTAAGGATGTGTTTATACTCGAGAAAATGCTTGTAAATTGCTGCATTAATCTTACTTGTAACATCTATATTCCATGCTACAAAGTACAATATAAGTGTTTTATAATTGTCAAAATGCCTGCCCTGAACTTGTGACTACAGACAGAAAGAGTAAATTCCCCCGCCCATCCAGGAGGACTATTAAAATTAAGTGGGTAGGACGAAAGCTTTTTTGATTACCCCATCCACCCAAGGAGAAGAATGTGCAGAAGGACTCGTCCCATTGGTTGGAATGTAGGACGAGGGAAATAAAGATAGTAGACAAAGATTGTTCATCTCTTTGCTGTTTGGACTCTTACAAGGGCTGGAGCTATGAAACAAAAAGCAGAGATCCCCAGGGTCAACCTGGGTTAGCCCTGAAAAGACATTCCATTTCACCTTTTGGAACCAAAGACCGAACTCCTTTGTGCATATATGGTACCTGCATTAAACATAAAAATAACTCTTCTCTTTTTCCTAATTAATAAATCATTCACTAGTTTACCATAGGATTGGCTACCAATATTGCCTTTGATGTGAGATCTAAGGCAGTGCTTCTCAAGCTATCTGATGTGGGGGACTGGCAATATTTTCCCCCCAATGTGCGCGCAGACCAGCAGCCGATGGTTCGCAGACCGGCACCGATCCGCGGACCACCACTTTGAGTAGCACTGATCTAAGGTATAAATTGACCTGGGGAAAGTGACTGGTCTCTTGGAACTGGGAGAAACCTGAATATTTTGTGATTTTTGGTGTAAGTGACCATTTATCACGAAGTCCAGCTTTTGCCTGGGGTGACTAGAGAGCCCACAGGGACGGTCCGTGACTCCATGGTAAGACTGTCACAGGGATCCAGGAGTTCACATTTGTTACTGAGTTGGTGAAATCTAGGTACAGAACATACCACCAGGTTGGTGTGTTTGCCCTGTAGTTGGCACACACACTCGTGAAGCACTCCAGACAGCATGACGATCCCCATCCATAGATGGCTGGAGACTTGAGACCCACAGGGGTATACTGGAGGGGGTGCAGTTAACGCTAGAACTGATTTAACATGCTTAACCCTACTAACCAGGTAACAGCAGGGTCCCTGGACATGGCTGTCACTGGAACCTGGGCACATACCCTGGGGTGGTGGGTAGGGTAAGTGAGCTCGTCTGCCCCGGATGCGAGCAAAGCTCTATACACCCATTAGGGTATCGGAGAGGGAGGCACAGGGATGTATTCCTACTCAAAGCCATATTGCTGTGTGAGCCAAGGAGCCATCACACACATGAACAGATGTTCCCCTTGGCTGTGGCATGGCTCCTCTTGACCAGGAGGGTAAGGTTCCGCAGCACCACCCAGCACAAAGAGAATAATAAAAATTACATGCAAAAAAAGAAAAAGTAAGTGTTCAGTTGTGACAGGGCATTAACAATCATGACCCTCAAGTCAGGAAATCCCAGCTGTCCAAGTTGCTCCAATCACAGCAACGGCTGCACTGAACGTCCTACTTCTCCCACAGACAACACTCGCCGTGTTAATATTCTAAAGGTGACTTGTAAAAACCAGGAGCAGACATTATCACATAGGCACAACCTGGCTTTATGGACCCCACATTATGAGTGGGATTTCCTGACTCTTGAAGGCCTGATAAAGCAGCCTTTGTTCTGTGGTAGAGAGATTTTGCATTTAATTTCCCCGGCATTTAGCAGAAAGGAGGAAGAGGAAAATAACCTTGGCTACCTGCCTTGGGAGGTTCCCAGCTTGCCCAGCACAACCTGCCAGGCTCCCCAGTCGAGCAGCTCTTCCCTGGGCAGAGTTCTTAAGTGCTGTAAGCTCCTGTAAGCAGTTCTAGTAGAGCCAGCTTCAATTCTGGCCTCTTTAACTGCTCCTACGTTTCCTGACGGGAAGCTATTCAGCCTGAGGAGGTCACAGGTTTAGCCTGGTTAAGGTTACACGGACTGATCTCAAAAAGCACCTACGCCATGAGGAAAGGCACAGTCATTATTGTATAAAAGTCTTCTAATGTTCCTGCTGGTCAATGGCCATAATACTTACCAAATATAAGGAGTCTCGTCTCAACAGCCAAGCGAGTTGCTGCATAAATCCTCTGCCTAACAGCATGAATCCATCTGTGTTTCTACCCATGCCAAAGAACAGCCACCTTCCGCTACAGAACGGAAGCCGGACTTGGTCAGGGCAAGACAGACACCACACGCTTCTCCACTCCTCTGCCGTACCATCCATACGTCCATGCCCACAGCAAGTGTCACTAACCGCCATGCATGAATGCTGCATTCCAATGGACCCCAGAACCTCTTCAAAACTACACCGCTTCAGGGACTCTTCCGAGTGTCTGGAATTAACCCTCCACGCTTTAATAATTCGCTGTAGGACGGGTGCGATCCACGAAAATGGCCTCTCTCAACTAGTCCCCCTGTTTTGGACACCTGCAGAGTTCCCTCAAGAGTTCAGTCAACTGGTACTGAACCCCTAATCTGCCCATGCTCTTCAGGAGGAGAAGCCATTACCAGAGACATTTCAGAGGAGGTCCCACCAGCACAAAAGTGCTACCACACTGCAGGGCAAGGGGAAGAAGCTAGAGGAACAGAAGTTAACAGAGGAAG